GGACACACCAACTCAAGTGATAAGGCTGAGCTTCCCTACATTGAATTTGGGAGAGGATTTGAATACAGAACCCAGCTCACTGTTGGAATGAGAGATCTTGGGAGCAGACTGTCAAAGCATCTGGTAAGTTATTCAGAAAAGGCGGGTGAATTTAAATTTTCTGTTGGTTGTGTATATAGGTTTAATATTTATGCGTATAAATTTGAACTAATGTCATTGATTTGGGAGTGAAGAAAGGCTTTTCTGAATTAGTGGACAGCCTAAATAAGAGGGTGTTTTGAAAGAAATGTAGCATAGTAGAGATATGTCAAAGTATGTTTATATGTTTGGCCAAAAAAGAAAAAAAAAAAAGGAAGAAGAAAATAAGTAGTACCTATAATCCTGCTCAAGTTATAGTCAAGGAATGTAAATACCAAAGAAAGTCTGAGGTGTGAGAGCCAATCAGCGGCTCCCTCAGTTTTCACATCCCCTGTGGATCCTAAGTGTCACAGCTCACCACATGGAGAATAATTCTAGTGTCTGAGATGTGGACTGTCCCTGCAACCTGGCCTGTAAGTGACAGCCAGTTACTTTTAGGGCTCAACTAGAGGATGAGCAATCTGCTCCAATGCTGAGGAAAAACTAGTGAGGTGATGCTAGACCTACTATGCTGTACTTTATGAGCCATCAAAGATTTTTGAAGACGGTCTTGACTAACCAAGATTGTTGCCTTATGTCTACATGAGATGCATCTTAATCATTTTTCTTTCAGACATGGACAAGGATTCAAACTAGAGTGGTGAAGTGTTACTGAGATATGTGGTACTACTTGCACCTTAATAAATGGCTAATAATTTGTAATTTACTTATAATTTATAAAATCTATAATCAGCATATCAGGACACTTTCCAATAAAGTGCTAGCTCCTGCTGTTTTCCACCTATAGAATTTGTATATAAACAGATGTTTGAACACAGTTTTGTTCAGTGTAGTAATTATGTAAAACTAATTACTTAAAGAATATGAGAGTTTTGTTGGAATTCCTTTCTACATGGGAAGATGGTTTATTTTTTAAAATGTATGTTTTTCTGTCTACTACTCTTTGAAATCTGCATTGGTAATTCATAGAGAGTGGAAGTTCTTCCTCAAAACAAGCATGTCAGTTTTTAGGTATCACATAAATGTAACAACACTACAAGAAAATCTTAATTTTAGACAGATTAATTTTAATGTTAATAGTAAAAAAAATTGATATTGTAGGATCTTGGTGATCCAAAGAAAATTGATATCTAGTATGAAATCAGAGAGTCTATTTT